ATTTTTTTTTTTAAAATATGCTTTTATTGATTTCAGAGGGAGGAAGGGAGAGAGAGAGAAACAACAATGATTAGAGTCATTGATCAGCTGCCTCCTGCACACCCCCCACAGGGGATCGAGCCCAAGACCTGGGAATGTGCCCTGACCAAGAATCAAGCTGTGATCTCCTGGTTCATGGGTTGATACTCAACCACTAAGCCATACTGGCTGGATTGTAGTGTTCTTTTTAAAATGACCCTGTCTTACTGAAGAGTCTACTATTTTTTCTGCACAATGCCTCACCTTTTGGATTTATGTGGTTATGTCCTCATGCTGTTATTTAACTTGTTCCTTCACTGAGCTAAGTCTCTTCCCTGAATTTCCCAAAAGCTGAGTGTGATGGATAGAAGCCAATGCTTTTTGGCTAGAATGTATCATAACGAAAATTGTTGCTACATCAAAAGACATATTGCTACTGAATCACTATGAACGTGCCAAGATTCACCTATGGATTGGGGTGATGATTCTAGTTCCTCCATTATACAGTTATGTTCCCCCTGGTGGCCACAGAGTAATTCATGTAGTGCTACTTTAGCATCATGTCCAGTTTCCTATTAACCATCCCATCTAATGGTTTTCAAGTGAATTGATAAAATATTTAAATTAATAATTTCAGCAGGGTTTGTGAAATGGCAACATTATTGAATAAAATAGAGCTTTCTATGATTAAATGGACTATTTGGTTACCTTAAATGATAGCTCCTAAATTTTCTACAGTAGCTAAAACATAGTTCTTAAAACAAAACAAAACAAGGTAAAAGATATTTACCTTGATTATTTTTCCAAAGATAAATTCTTAAGGTTAAAAAATCCATCTCAATTGGCAAAATATTTTTACAGGTTTCTCTATTTTGTGGGTATAACAATGCAAGAGGAAATTTTCTGAATCTCTCTTTTCTTATTTCATTTAAATTACTTTAAACATTTTAAGAAAGTTTTTACTGATTTCAGAGAGAGGAAGGGAGAGGCAGAAACACCAATGATGAGAGTGAGTCATTGATTGGCTATTTCTTGCACGCCCCCTATTGGGGCTCGAGCCCACAATCCAGGCATGTGCCCTGACTGGGAATCAAACTGTGACTTCCTGCGTCATGGGTCAGTGCTCAACTGAGCCACACTGGCTGGGCACTACTTTAAACATTTTGCTTTTTTATTTCTAAGTATGTATTATTCATATTCTTCTATTAACAGGTTATCTAAAGTGAACACTGGAAAATTCAACAGAGGATGACAATCAGCAAGAGAGCAGACTAGGAAACTACAAGCTATCGTTCTTCCCAGAACATTGAAAAATCTAGAAATCACCTGAACAAACTCTGTCACAGCTCTGGAAAACAGCCAAAGGTTTAGAGCAACCAAGCAAACACCCAATCAACCTTCTGGCATTCAAAAAATTATCTGCAAAATGTTTGCTGAACAGAGATCTCAGTGGTCATACACAGAAATGATCTTTGCAAAAAATAAGTTTGGAAAAGTCTCAAAACAAACCAACAACTAGAGTCTTCAACAATTTAACAAAATCCAGTAAACCTAGAGGAATCTGATTTTCAAAAGGCACACAAAACAGACAAAAACTGCCACTGAGGAAGCCCAGATAGTAGACTTACCTAGACAAAGACTTAAGAACAAATGTCTTAAATATGCTCAAAGAGTTAAAGGAAAACCTAGACGAAGAACTAGAAAAAAAACAGGAAAACAATAAAGGATGAAAATGAAAATATCAACAAAAGACAGAAACTATAAAAAAAAGGAATAAAACAAATTCTGCAGTTAAAAAATACAACTGAAATAAAAAATATACAAGAAGGTTCAAGAACAGATTTGAGCAAGCACAAGAAAAAAATCAATGAATATGAAGATGGCAATTGAAATCATTCAGGGAGGAGAGAAAGGCAATGCAATTAAGTGAACAAGTGACTAAGGGACTTGTGGTACGCTATTAAACACACAATATACATAGTATGGAAGTCCCAGATAGAGAAGGGAGAGAGAAAGGAGCAGAAAGATTATCTGAAGAAATAATGTCCCAAATTTGATAAAATATATGAATGTACAAATCCAAGAAGCTCAATTTTATGGGTTGAATTGTGTCTCTCCAAAAACGATATGTTGGAGTCATTATCCTGTAGCTCAGAATATGACCTTATTTAGAGATATGGTCTTAAACAGAGATAACCAAATTAAAATAAGGTCATGTGTTAGGCCTTAATCCAATATGATTGGTGTTCTTATTAATAGGAGTACATTTGGGCAAAGAGACAAACACACAGGAGATCGCATGTGAAGATGAAGACAGAGACCGGAGTGAAGAAGCCATGGAGCCCCCAAAATTCCCAGCTAACTACCATACGCTAGTAGAAAGGAATGGATTAGATTCTCATAGCTCTCAGAAAGAACCAACCCTAGTGATAAGTTGATCTTGCACTTCTAGATCCAGAACTGTGAGACAACAAATTAATGTTGCTTAAGCCACTTAACTTGTAGAATTTTGTTATGGCAGTCCTAGGAAATGAATACAGATTTTGGTTCTGGAAAGTATGATGTGGCTGTAGCAAATACCTAAATGTGGGAGTGGCTTTGGAATTGGGTAATGGGTAGAGGAAAAAGAGTTGTGATTGAATGAAAAAGTACAGATTACCGTGAAAAGGCTATTGGTGGAAATATGAACATTAAAAGTGCTTCTGGTGAGATCTCAGACAAAAGTGAGGAACATGTTACTGGAAACAGGAGGAAAGGCAATACTTGTTATAAAGTGGTAGAGAAACAGGCTGAATTGTGTTCTGTTGGATGGAAAGTAGAACTTAGATATTTAACTGAGGAGACCTTTAAGCAAAGTGTTGAAGTACAGCCTGCTTTATCCTTGCTTGTTCTAACAAAATGTGAGAAGACAGAGATAAAATGAAGAAGAAATTATTAAACATAAAGGAACCAGAACTTGAAGGTTTAGAAAGTTCTCAGACTATCCATACTGAAAAATATGAGAAAATATGCTCTGGAGAGAACACCAAAGAAAGGTATGGCTGGACACTATTTGCTCAAGAGATTACAGGTGAGTTGTGGATCTAACCAACCATCTCAGCAGAAACACTGCCAGCTTCAACTGCAGGGGACAGAGATAGCAGTAAATAAAAAAGGGCTGTTGGACATGTGGGATTCTACAGGCAGAAACTGAGCTGATAGAGCTATTGGCCATGAATGTGTGTTATCTTTCAAGAAACAGGAAGAATGACCCTGTAGGTGGTTCAGAGACTGATGTGTCTGCCACTGCCACCACAAGCCCGGAGGGCATAGGCCTGAGAGGCAGGGCTGTGTCTTCCTCTGTTCCCAGGGTGGGGCCTCCTCCTGGATTCCAGAGAGGACAACTCCTCAATTACAGTGGGTGAAGCTGCTGCCAAGGCTTAGGGGACAGGGGCACCACACCAGTGGGACTAAAGGACAGAGTATCTAGCCAAAGAAAATTATTTTCAAGTCATAAGAATCTAATAGAATTTTCTCTGTCAGATTTTAGACTTGTCAGGCCTAAGATTCAGAGATAAAAAGAAATTTTGCCTTAGCTTAAGTGATAGCCAATTTTTACCTACACATGATTTAGATAAGAAGATTTGGGGCTTTCAGTTGAGTTGATGCTAGAATGATTAAGACTTTTTGGAATGTTGGGATGAGATGAATGTATTTTCAAAGTGGGAAGAAACTTACTTTTTTGACTTATGAGTTGAATTGTGTCCTCTCCCCCAAAATATGTTGGCGCTCTAACCCCCCAGTACTTCAGAATGTGACCTTAGACATCTATTTGGAGGCAGGATTTTTACAGAGGTTATCAAGTTAAAATAAGATATTATGTTGGACCTAATTCAATATGACTTTTAAAAACACTGAGACAGACAAGTACACAGAGAATGCCATACGAAGAAGGCAAAGAGATTGGGATGATGCAGCAGAAGTCAATGAGTGCTAAAGATTGCCAGCAAAATCTAGAGTAGAGACAATGAACAGATCTTCCCTCTCAGATCTCAGAAGGAACCAACATTGCCAACACCTTGATCTTAGACTAGACTTCAGAATTCTCTGACAAAATAATTTTATTTTGTTTAAATTATACAGTTTGGCCCTAGCTGGTTTGGCTCAGTGGATAGAGAGTCGGCTCTTGGACTGAAGGGTCCCAGGTTCAATTCCGGCCAAGGGCACGTACCTTGGTTGCAGGCTCAATCCCCAGCCCTGGTCAGGGAGAGTGCTAGAGGCAATCAATCGATGTGTCTCTTTCACATCGATGTTTCTCTCTTGCTCCCTCTCTCCCCTCCTACTCTCTCTGAAAAAGCAATGGAAAAATATCCTTGAGTGAGGATTAAAAGAATAATCA